GGGTGTTTATATTAACGGTAGTTAGATTTTTTAAAAGACAAGCTACAAAACAGCAATGAAAAATTATGTAATGATGTCCATCAAATTTCATATTAATTACTTTTTACTTGAATTATAAAGAGAAATATTATTGTGTGAATTCGGATCACACTTTGTTTCCTCTAGAAGAATTTGAAATTTTGTCAAACCTGGAGCGAGCTGGTGTTCTATTCTAAATTTTTTACACACAAAAAATAATATAAGAAAGGGATCGACCCTAGGGATGGGCAAACATCGATGTTGACATCGAATAGAGACTATCGATATTGTAAAAAAATCGGAAAAACAAATATCGATTTTTCTAAACATCGATGTTTGTGTCTCCACTTATCGATGTTTCTGTTAACATCGATGTTTGCCAAAAACGTTCATTGAAAAGCAAAAAAAAGGAATTCAAGCCATCAATTGAAAAAATATAACGCTTAACAAAAAACTATCAATTGAAACGTAACCTTATGCTTAAGGAAATCATCAATGTTACTTAAAAAAACATCGATGTTACTTCAAACATCAATGTTAACTAATAACATCGGATAAAGAATACTTGATGTTAACTAATAACATCGGATTAAAAAACATCGATCACTGAAAGATCGATGTTTTTCAAACATGATACATCGTGCGCATCCCAAACCGACCCTAACCTGAAACTAAAGGCTAATTGTTAGATTTTAGATTATTATTATTATGCAAATATCATTCACTATTATTAAATTAGTTTCAGCTTTGTCCACCCTATATTTAAAAGCAGTTGATGATTTCTTACAAGCATTAATCACAACCAAGAGCAAGAAAAGTGGAAGGACTTTACTAAAAGAACATACATGATTGAAAAAGGGATTTGCCACAGGAAGTTATTAGTAAAAAGTATATAGTTATAAATCATATTCAAGACCCCGCCCCTGAGGTATCCCCTTACTAATAAAAAAATAATCATTAAAATCGGACATCGTTGCAAAGAATTATCGCTACTTGTCAGATTCTTTACAAACATAATTAAAACTAAACATTTATAAAGTAAATCGTTACCTATAAATCTACAAATAAATAACTGTACCTAAATACGTTTTGTATTAATTTTTCTGCGCGCCTATAACAACATTCATATTCATAAACATAACCTAAAAATCAACCTACCTGTGGAACGAAAGATTAACATGTAAATAGTCAGTTTTTACAAACAAAACACTGTTGAACAATATTGATAATAGGTATACCCTATTTAATCACGTAATCAAATTTACTCAAATTTACTCAAACAGTTTTCATAAAAACATAGCTGCAACAAACAAAACACAAAGCAATTTTATGAATGAAACAAATTTACAACTCTCGCTAGTCTTGCTACTAATATCGACACACCTAAATGCACTGTTGTCAGACATAAGATTTCTTCCGATGATTAAAAGACACACAGTATTGCAAGCTAATATATTTACATTACTACCCAGATAGCACAAATACGTCTTATGGACGTTTTAAAAAGGTCTTGCTTGGACATTCAGGACATCCTTAAAACGTCCATTTCATGGACGTCTATGGACGTCTTTGGAACGTCCATTGTTAATAATCGGGATGACTTAAGAACGTCCATTTAAGAACATTCCATAGACATTTTCAAAAGCTCAAATGGGGAATAACAGGATGTTTAAGGAAATTGGTGAAAATAATGAATAATTTTAAAAAAATTATTTGGAAGCAACCTATGAATAATAAAATTATTAAAACTTTTTCGTTAAATTCATCCCGTCTCTCCTCTACTTTGCCATTTTCAACCACGTCTGGATTGACAGCAGTTCATTTTTCTAGATTTTGCCTGAAAGTAATTTAATCGCTTATTCAAAATGAAAGGCAGATCAATATCAAAAACCAATCTGTTTGTTTGTTAAACTGCAAAAAAATTAATATTGATCAACCACAAACTCACAGAGTCGAATCACAGTCAAATGGAGGAATAATAGGACTTGTACTCGTATAATATGTACATACCATCGAATCATGAACATAAAACACCATGTTTTCCTTTTTTCATAAAACCTGATACCTAAGAATATTTCAGTGCTTGTATCTAAATAAATAATAATAAAAAATAATAAAATGTCAGCAATGTGCATTTCTTGTAATGACCTTCTTCGTTTTTTGTCTATTTGGCCTTCATTCAATTTGATATTGGGACAATGCCATTATTTTTATTCTCATTATATATGTTGTTTATATAATATAACCAAATAATACAATGCGTATGTGATTCCATGGAAATATAATAAAGCACGTAGAATTGACGGTCTACTATTTCTTGACGTCCTGTGGATTTACTAAACTGGACATACTTAAAACGTCCAGAATTAGTCGTGGACGTACAGACAATAAATGGACATGTAATGGACGTCCTGTGCTATCTGGGATACTGTTAAAAACACCGTAAACTTGGCATCAATGTTCAATCAAAATATTGTATTTCTGTCACGGACGCCAACTTTGAGGCTGCAAAAATTTTGTACATAATCCTATCTGTCTTGGTTATATATCTATGGTTCAGCCCCATGACTACATGTCATTTTATTTAAATACTCCAAGTATGTGTAATGTTAAATCACCTCTTGTATTGTATATGTAATTATTTTAACAATAACACACTACAAGTCGTTGCGAGTAAATAATTACTATTCTATTTTACAATATAAGAAAGTAGTAATAATGGTTACCTATAGATATCAGTAATTTCTTTTATAAATAATCTAGTCAAAATTAGAAAAATGTTCTATGTAACACGTTACAAAATACCGTTTTATGTAACTCATTCATAAAGAACTGGTTTCATAAATAGCTATTGTTTTATTTATTTGTTTTTTTATTGTTCATTTCTTATATAAAAAATAAGGCCAGAGATATTAAAAAAAAAAAAATTGCAGGCTATCGACTTTTTGAGATCACATATACTGGCTGCTAATACTACGTCGGCTTACAAATCAAAAACGTTTAATATGCCCATTACACAGCATCCTGGTAGCAAGGCCGATTGAATCTTATATGATTCAAATGGCAGCTAAAGTGTTAAAGGATATTTACTTACATTAAATTGAAATCTCGTGATTTAGGGATGTCAATTAAATGTTCCCTTAATGCTCCTACAAATGGAGGAACGATAATAATAATAATAATAATAATAATTATTATTATTATTATTATTACTTTACCACATTGGCAATGAGATTGGATTTGTAAAGTATTTCTAGACTCAATTCAACACAGGCGTTTGTACCGGGAGTGCGTAATAATTATGTACTGTCACATTGCAAATAAGCGCGAATTGTTAAGTTTTAAACATTAACGCAACTACAATTGATGTAAAGTCCACAAGTGAGCGGTCACGCCATTTCTTAAAATTGCTGGCGTACCTGGCTCCTAGCTGCCCTTCAGTTGCTCTTTGTCCAGTACAAAGATAGGGTTATAAACGACAAAAAACTCAAATAATATTTTATTATAATGCAAAAAACAATATTTATTTATAATCAATTTTTTTTAATTTCTTTTTTAGATATTTACTTATGATACAAACATGGGGTTATACGTGGTTATACGACAAAAAAAATAAATGCAGTTAAAAGTATATGTAAGACTACTAAATTCTCTTTTCCACAATTTATTTCGTTATTAAACGAGGCGTTGTGGTTGAACACAGTGAAAACAGAAAACTTTCAGCAAAAAATATCAATAAAGCTCTGCTGTTTTTAAAAGTATTTATAAAAATAATAAATTTATAAAGTGAAGTATCTACGCCTATGGCAGATCAAACAAAATTGTCGGTAAAAATTCCGAACGAGTTTTTAAATTCTGCAATTGATAATGGACGAACTATACCCAATCAATAATTTAATTTATTTAATTTTAATAATGAAAACGGTACGCCCATGTGCGCGGTCCCTTTGAACTCGGCGCTAGTCAGGTATTAAGCCGTGTTGGATTGAGTCTAGAAAGACTATAACAGACTTAATGCAATTTTATATTAATAATTATGTTCATATTTTTTTTGTATGTATTAAAAAAATCTAAACAAATAGATATAATATAAAAATTAACTAATTTTATACAAAAGCATAATTTGAACAATAAAAAAAATATTCTACGCAAATAACATTTTGAATTACTCTGCAGATTATCATCAACTTATACACAATTTTCCATCAATGAGGTTATAGCAAGAGTTGTAGTCTTGGATAATGTCTCATAATAGTATGTAACATATCTTCCCACAGCTTTAAAAAAGATTTGCTGGCTATATTAGAGTGATTAAATCTTAAACCCATATAATATGTTGCTAAAAGATTGGATCATACCATTATACACATTTATTTTTGTTTGATTTACCTATTAATTCCATTTTACAAATTTATTTTATTATTATTATTATTATTATTATCAAAGAATCATTAATCTGAAAATATCCTATGTAAATTATATTCTTCTTCCAAAAATACATCTGCCCTAATACAATTTATTACTTTCCTTAAATTCTTCCCGACAATCCCTTCAAAAATTCAAAATCCCCGTCTGATATTCGTTTTCAGAAACATTCCGATCCGAAAAAAAAATTCTATCACAATTGATTAAATACGTCATTAAATAATTTTGAAACAAAAAATATACCATGGCAGCAAATTTATATCTCTGTTTTTTTCTATTAATTACTACTAATTAAACCCGAGAAGAATGACATCAGTTTTATCACCCAGCCATGTAGCGAAATAACATTTTCTTTATTTAAAATGTCGACGAAATTTGCGAGTCTGCTTTAGTAATCACGCCTTATCTTTGTATACCAACCAACCACTCCTGCATTACCGTCGCAGGGTCATAAGTGTCAAACGCAAAATACATCGTTCATATCTGATGCAGATACTCATCTGCAGCACCCTCTAAAATCTTTTATTCAAGAAGACTAATTGACTTTTTTCTTGCAGATGAACCATTCACGATATTCGCGCCTCAGAATTCGGCTACAAAGCGCGCAGAAAATCTCCTTCACCAGCCAGAACTCATCAAGAAATTGTTACTTGATCATGTAGTGTTGGGATCTGTAATCGATTTGACGAACGTTACAAACGAAACGTCTATAAAGACACTTGGTGGTAAAACTGTTAAAGTACGAGCGACGAAAGAAAATAGTTTGAGAGCCAATGATGCAAATGTGATAGAGAGAAAAGTCGTTGTTCCTAACGGTAAGTTTTTAGTTTCCATTAAAAAAATACCAAAGAGATCGAATGTTTATATTATAGAGTGTAGAGGTAAGGAGAAATATCTGTTTACAAAAAGTGTCCCTTCAAATGTATGAAATTAAGATTGCGTTTCTGTAGAAGCGGGACGCAGAAAGTTGCGACAGTCGATAATTCAGATCACACAATCTTACCAATGATGTCTATAGTTATAGATAACTCACCCATATTTATTTATTTATTTATTTATAAATACATCCAACGGGCTTTATCAGCCCAATTACAGGAGTATATAATATATTTAAAAAGACAAAGTTTGATAATATCTAAATTACATTCTAATTACCTAATTTGATACCAATCTGTAACAATGCTCTCTAAATTGGTAAAATTTTAGAAAAAATATATCAACAGAATACTGATTGGTACTTCTACATATTGTAGTTAAAGGACTGTGAAAGTGATGTTGTGAATTTGGCACTTGAATATGTAATGTTATATTTGTCCTTGACGTAATACGTGGGATATAAAAATTAAATTGAGACAGCAGAGAAGATCAATCTATAGAATTATTAATTAATTTATAGATGAATGCCATGTTTTTTAAGTAAATAAATTTTAAAAATTTTCTTTGGACATATTCTAATGTACTTTTGTACTTTAAATGATTAGTATTCCAAACACAATTGCAATTCGAGAGACGCTAAAATGGTGGTTCCCACCTTATCGAGACTGAGGCCCGCAAGGGTATTTGTTTCAAAATTTAATTTTTTAAAATAAAAGTTTGAAACACTAGCGCTATCGATCCAGAAAATAGCCAAATTTCATGATAACTTGCTACTCTACTATTCTACATATAAATAGTATTCAGTAATGCTCAGAGTTGCCAATACCGAAAAACAATTAGCGCAATGTTCTAGTCACTAATGCAAAAATCTGATGTGTCCAACACATGACTTTCCTATCTAGTTATTATAGGCTTTTTCCGGTTATTTTGTACAACCTATTGCAGCATCTCTATAAATGTTTAGAGGATAAACTAAATATATGCATTGTCCACCTGAACATTGTCTACCTCTAAACATTTTTCTATAGATATTCATTGAAAACGAAAATACTGAAAAATTAAAAATTTAGCACTTTTCCATTACGGTCCATTTTAGAAAAATCATGTATAAACAAAAATTATAGAGATCGATATCGCAAACTACTTTTAGTTCAACAATTTTCATGAAAATCAGAATTTTGCACATTTTGTCAAATTTCTCGAATACGGACCATTTCAGGAAATTTTGACATAAAACAAAAATTATAGATAATGATATAAGAAGTACCTAACTTTTATTTGAACAATTTTCTTCTCCAAACATAAATAACAGATATATTCCATAAAATATAAAAACGGCCCCCAGATGTTCCGACTTTGTCCAAAATCTAATCATTTCACGTCAGGCCGAAATAAACCTTAAGTTTAAAATTTAATGTTTTTTTCTTTATCCGTTTTTGAGTTTTCTTCAAAATTCGAAATTTACACATTTTCTCAAATATCTCGAATACGGTCCATTTTAGAGAAATTATGTATAGAATAAAAATTATAGAGAAATATATTACAAACAACTTTTATTTAAACAATTTTTATAAAAAATTATTTTTTTTACATTTTATCAAATTTCTCGAATACGGACCATTTTAGAAAAATTTTGTAAAAAACAAAAATTATAGATAATTATATTAGAAGTAACTTCTTTTTAAAGAATTTTCTTCTCCAAACGTAAATAACAGATATATTCCATAAAATATAAAAATTACCACCTATAAAGTACCCCCCCCCAGATGTTCCGACTCTGTCCTAAATCTAATCAGTTCATTGGACGCTGGAATAAAGCTTAAGATTAAAATTGGGTGTTTTTCTGTTTACGAGTTATGCGACATACAGACACACACACACACACACAGACATCATCGAGAAAATAGTCAAAACGGATTCAGGGGACCTCAAAACGTAAAAATCCGTCGAAAACTCGAGGTCGAAAAAAATCATGATTCCTATACTTTCCTTATATCTGTATACAGATAGGAAAGTAAAAAAGAGCAAATGAGATGGCACACTTCTTATGAGTTTTCGGGGACCGGTCAATTTTTTTTAAATTTTAATATGTTATAGTACTTGCAAAAATAAGCATTTTTCATCATTGCGCCAAATCTCTAAGTGTACAGGGTGTCCCAGAAAAACGCACCGAAAGTTCGTACGCGAGGCGTTAAAAGTATCCAGTAATCGTCGTCCTGAAAGAATGTTGCTGTGATTTTTTCTTTTAATTTGACCAACGAACAATGAATGTGATATGATTACATGTCTGTGCAATACAGGGTGTTTTAATTTACATGTCCCTTTCGAAATCGTAGTAAAACAAAAACAGATTTAGGTATGCCGGCCCTTGTTTCGGCATTATATAGCGAATTAGAAAGTGAAAATGTTTTTTTTTAACTTTCTCGAGGCCAATTTATGCTTTTGAATTTATCTGAAAACTCTGCTTGTTATAAGTTACAATAAAAAACAATGAATATGCAAGGAAATAGAAGTATTAAATACTTTGGAATATATTAACCTAGGTATAAATGGCCAAATACCACATTAATTTTTTTTAATTTACTTGATGTAGCCAACATTCAGAATTAAAAAGCACAAAATCGTAAAAAAAACAATTATTTATTAAATGGAAGAAACAAGAACTGATTTATTATCTTACTTTGTGAGTTAATTAGCGTAGTAACATTTTTTGTCAAGGGGGTAAAACTATTATTGGGTAGTGACAATTCTCTTGGAATACTAATCTCTATTAGCGGCATCTTGGATACATCTAAGTAAGACGTTTGTTGGGTACTTAACGTCGTTTTCGTATCGAGCATAGCCTAGATACCACACTACGCTGGAAATATGTGCGCACATACCCAGTGTTCTAGCCCCAACTTTACAAGTACAATATGTTCCTTGTATTGGGTCGTCCCCATCACGCACAGGAGGCAGCAAGTATGAAATAAAAAGAAAATGCTTTGTGACTTGAGTAAATCAGGAGAATAGCTTTGCTCTAATGAGCCCAGGCTCAAATTCCTGAACTTGAAACAGAAATTCGTTAGTGGCTTCCCTTTCAATTGTATCCTGGATGTAAGCTGGAGACAGCTTTACCTGATATGTTCCAAATGTTTTTGTTCTAAGATATTCTAACGTTAGAATAGGGAACTGGATGTCATTTTCATTTATATCAACCCATGCACCTCCACCACGCCTAAGTTGCAGATTTTCCATTAGAATCCTATCATGGAGGGGATTATTAGGATTTTGGACTAGCTCTAGCATTCGCTGTGCCAGCTCGTCACTCTCATCCTGCATATGAATTGGTTCTCGGTATGCGTTAATAAGAGCGCAACCAATCTTTAAATATTCTGATAACTTGTAACAATTTTGCATAGGTATCGCATCTCGAAAGAACTTGTACAATGATTTTAAATGCCCATTCCTCGATTCTACAATCCAGCGCGTTTTGGTAATCTTACGAGCATAGTTCGCTTCCTCGGTGGTAAACTGTTGACGATTTCTTGGCAAAAACGGTGGTATTTCACAATTCAGGTTTAGTGTTTCAAGAAATTCTACAACATCTCTATATCCCCTATCAACGACAAATATATCTCCGTCCTGTATCCATTGTCTTATGTTTTGAATATCCTCTTCCATTTCTTTTCTCAATATTGCTGCATCATTGTTCCTGCTGTCGGAAAAGTAAGAACCGTGAACATCGACTATAAATCCATCAGGAGCTACTATTAGTCCGGCTTTAAATAATGTATACCGCTTATGGGATGAAAAGGATTGTCTTTGAGTTCTAAAATTACAACTTTTTGGGGCTTTCAAGTAAGTACAATCCGAAAAGAGAATGGCTTGGGGATTTTGGGGCTGTGGATTGTACAATATATTTGAAAAGCTTGTAACATGGCGCTCAATAAACTGTCGTCTATCTCTCAATTCTTGACAATGAAATCCTAGATTATTTGGTACAAAGTTTAGGATTAAAGTAGTTCTGACAATGGTAATTGCTAAGCTCACAGCCTGGCGGGATGTGTAACTCATAATTGCTTTAATAAATTCATCCGATAAGCCCTGCCTTAATTTCATTAAGAATGCAATCATGTCTTTTTTAGTTGGCACACGACTTTTTCCATAAATCACTACCGGTTGGCATGTATTGAATAAATCCGCAAATTGCCGCTTGCTTATAGAGGTCAACTTTTTAAATTCCTCATCCCCAAAATTTTCTTCAGTATCAAAACTACTTGAATTGTAGTCTTTTAATGCCAGAAACCATTCATGTATTTCCCTGCCCGTCATTAGCACATTCATGGGCAATGATATATTATTATTCATGTGCTGAATTTCCACATTTCCCTTAGAATTTAAATGATTAACACAACATGGTGGATGGCTGGGGATGAAAATGTTAGTTTTTGCAAAAAAGTCGACACGTGCATCTAACGATAACCTTGTCCGACTGTCATTATTACATACAAAGCAACCTCTATTTCTAAAAGTCCTCACCTCAAAAATTAATGTTCTCCTTACCTCAATTGCTTCTCCTTCTAAAAAAAAAAAAGTCTTCATCTCGAAAAAAATATTTTCTCCCTACTTCAATTACCTCAGCCAAACAAAAAACACCTCTAAGCTAATGAGTTAAAACTTTTCCTGTAACTTTCAATCATATCACCTCCCCATTCTCTTCTTATGTCGAATTTCTCATGCAGAAACAGAAAACCCTATTGTCGGGCCCCCCTTATAGCGCTGCCGGGCCCCCATTTGAGCCCGGGCCCCGGGAATTAGTCCCGGCTACCCCCCCCCCCTCTAGTCGGGGCTGCGAATTACATATTTACAAAGTTAATTAACATAAACTGGCAACACAAAATATATAAAATTCAATATTAATCACAAAAACGTATTCAAATAAAATGCACGTCATTTTTTAAAAATGTCAAAATCGGCGCATTCACAGCCAACTTAGCGATTAAATCGTCAGCAAGCATATATGCAGTTTAAAGCTTCTTTTTCTCTGATTAGGTGTTCTTTATTTGTCGTAATGCTGAGTATTGTTGTAAACAATGACTTCATAGCCTATACTTGAGAAAAATAAACTTGGAACGAAATATAGATTTGTATACTTTATAATATATGGGTATATTTTTATGAACCTATCCTATATCGAACGTCCCAATAAGGCTCATGACTAGGTTTTTTATTGTAACTTATAACAAGCAGAGTTTTCAGATAAATTCAAAAGCATAAATTGGCCTCGAGAAAGTTAAAAAAAAACATTTTCACTTTCTAATTCGCTATATAATGCCGAAACAAGGGCCGGCATACATACCTAAATCTGTTTTTGTTTTACTACGATTTCGAAAGGGACATGTAAATTAAAACACCCTGTATTGCACAGACATGTAATCATATCACATTCATTGTTCGTTGGTCAAATTAAAAGAAAAAATCACAGCAACATTCTTTCAGGACGACGATTACTGGATACTTTTAACGCCTCGCGTACGAACTTTCGGTGCGTTTTTCTGGGACACTTAGAGATTTGGCGCAATGATGAAAAATGCTTATTTTTGCAAGTACTATAACCTATTAAAATTTAAAAAAAATCGACCGGTCCCCGAAAACTCATAAGAAGTGTGCCATCTCATTTTTAAATGAAAGCGCAACTTTATTACTAACACAAAAAAGCAATTTTGATTTAAAAGTAAAACATAAGAAAATATAAGGATTCATATTAATAATTCACTCTACATTCAACTATACATTTTCTTAAAAATGAATTCGATTGTGTTAAATATATAATTTCTTTATTCATGAGAATAAAAAGCACAAAACGTTGGGAACAATAAATTCTTCTCAAAATAAATACGGACAGAATAAAAATTGCGCCTTATGCAACTAATAATTGGCAACACTGGTAATTCCAGTCATCTAAGTTAGTTATTCCGCCATTGATTTCGGTCTTTTAGTGATTTTGTATTGTGAGCGCTGCACAGTTGTCAGATGTTTATTTCTACTTAGTTCTAGTTACCAGATATTTCAGTTCGAAATTAATAATTCAATTTGTTTCTATTGGAAAAAGAGTGAAATAATTTGTGACGTTTTTGAAGTAATTTAAATTAATTCACGAATTAAATCACTGACTTAATTCATATAAATTAACCCTGTTATATATACTAATTTATATTACATTTATTTACATTATTAACAATTATTAATCGTCACATATCAATATCCCAACTTGGACATACTATGGCCTATTTATATACACACATGGTCGAAAATAGTTCGTACAACAATTTCTTTATTAATCTTCCTAAATTCAGAGGTAAAAATTGTAGATACGGGTATTTCTTATGAAATCTCAAAATTTGAGGTATTGAAATTTCTTTTTTTTTTTATAAACATAGATATTTTTTTGCAGAGATCAGAAAAGTTGCTTTTAGAGATCTATCCAGGGGTATTGGTCTTCCATATTTTTGTATATAACCTATAAAAAATGAGGTTTTAAAAAATAAATAAATGAGTGACTGATTAACGGAGTGAGGGAATGATTTATTATTATATTATAGTAAAAAACAACATGTACAAATGAAAGAAATTATATATTTTTTATTAATATATATCAAACAATGAAATATCATATTCTAAAGAAAATCAACTCAAAACTTTGTACTTATAGAACATAAACAATCTTTTGTACTTATAGAAAATGACCAACATAAATATATATAAACCCAAAAAAATAACAAATATCAATTGTATCATTTTCTTTTAACATTTCAGTATGATCTTGAATGCGCGAAGACGACGCTGAAGACAGTTGGTAATTATCCTTCATTATATCCAATTCCACTAGAGGTCAAATTATTTCCGGAAATTTTTTCGAGCTCATGAATATTTTGAAAATTTCCCGAGTCGCAGACGAGGGAAATTTTCTAAAAATATTCATGAGCGAGAAAAAATTTCCTGATATTAATTTGACCTCGCGTGGTATTCGGTAAGAAAATTCCACGCCGAATTATGGTTGAAAATTAAATATTTTTAAAATTTATTTTTCGTTTCTCAACAATGCAAATTATTTTCTCCAAGTCACCAGTGAAACATAAAAGGTGTTGTCGCCTTGATTGTTGAGTTGTCATGGTAACTAAGTGAGACCCTAACTTCGAATATAATTTCAGTTTTGAAGTTGTCAAGCGGCCCGACGTAAAAAATGTTTCGCTGCAATTATTTAGGCCTTCAAATTGCTTATTTCTACTCATTGTAGTTGCATGGGAATACCATTTGAAAATAGAAAATAGTATATTCTTTAATTTTACGTACGTTTTGAATAACTACAAGTGGTAGAAAATTGTTTTTCTGCGTTTTTATTAACATGCGTTATGAGCGCTTTAAAATGGTATGAAATTCATAACCAGCGTCAGTAAGCATCAATCGTAGGAGACTGTGATCATTGTATTTTGACAGTTCAAAACATTAAATAACTCGCGTTTTGTTGCGATAAAGAATATTGCACAGCAAGTAAAACCAACAAAATTACCTATTTGTTTAAAAATGAATCGATTTGAAAATCATACGCTATGCAAAATATGCGTGAAATTGTCTGATGTAATGATCAATCATTGCACCATGACTTACTTACTCGGATTAACAGAGGATTGTGGCTCCAACTTGAAAAACGAAAATTTGTTCCGAATTGTCCACGAATATTTGCACCTAAACTACGCAAAATTCAAAGTGCTGAATGGGAAAAAGGTGAACAAATTAGTGTCTAAATATTATATATATTTTATTAGACATAGACACATAATTCAAAGCATCCAAAGTCCTGCATTTTCGCCATTAAGAAGAAAAGAAGTTGCCGAAGAATATAGAAAACACCTTAGCATTGTAACTAAAATGTATCAAAACTAAACCTATTATGTGAACAAATAAAAACCAGTCTGTCAAAAATGGTCTGTTATTGTAAACGTCAAAAAATTTCCAGTATAATTCGCTGTTGGGTACCCCACGAGAAAAAAATTTCCACTAAAATACCTCCGTTGCCATGGTGATCTGTCAAAAACACGTATTTTGATTGGTTCCAAATTACAGGTGTGGAATTTTCACTGTAATCTACATGAATTAAAATGTCGTTTATTGTTAAATTTTTCTTTATATTTTGAATGGCCTGATATTGATGTGCTATAGTGCCAATATGTGAAAAAAAAAGTGGTAATGCTGCTTCCAGACTTTGAACAAGCAATTTTAATTTAACCCTATACTCTTTCTTCACGGGTTTACGAACTGTCTTTTTTTTCCATCCTTTTCAAATGAACTGACTTCATAAATCCATTGTTGATAAGTCACAAACTATTTAGGCATTGGTAAATAGTATTCCAAAGAGCGTTCCTTGCAGGTTGAACATTCCCTGAGTAGACATTTTGTGGAATGCACATCGCAGGTTATTGTCACTAAAATTGAAGTCACGTTACAAAATTTCAATGCTTTGACTTCATGCAATTTAGATATCATCAACTGAATATTGGCATGCTGTATGCATTGACAAGTATTTCGGGTATTCACGTTTTGCCAAGTAACCCAAAAGGGTCTGAATCTGCAAAAGATTGATAAGCTTATCTTATAATTGACCGTGCTTAAAAACTTTCTTAATGTAAATTATGAAGTGTATCATATAAAACACGCTTTTGTTTAGTTTTACCATTTTTGGATTTAAGATAGTCTTTTTTCCCCGGGCACATCCTTAAGTTTTCATCTTTCTCCAAAAATTTAATTACATCGTCCTTTACCTTCATCATTTTATCTCTTATTTTTCGAGGCTTTTGTCTTTTGAAAATATCATGTTTAAAAAAAGGTTTCGATTCATAAAGTAACTTATATTTCTGCAATGATTTCAATTTCAACATTTCGTAATATTTTTTCTTTTTTTCATGTTTCTTTCCAAGATCTTTGTAACTAGTCTCTATATCTCTTGTTAACGCTTCTCCAAAAAGTAATTTCTTCTTCACACTCTCAAGAACGTTTACATTCTTTAGAAGCGCATCTACTTTAGTTCCAGGCGATTCTGGGTCAGTTTTTTTTGTTTTCATTCTCAAATATCTCTTCTTATATTTTTCGCTTAACTTCACTGCATTCTTCAATTTTTTTTCCAAATTTGCAATCTTTGCATACAAAATAGCTCGTCGCTTTCGCATCTGTCGTTTATTTCGAGCAGCTACATCTTCGCTCATTTGCTGCACAACTGATACTGGACTTTGTGGAGGTGTATCATCAATTATTCTTTGTAAATTTTGGTGTGCTATAGCTTTTTTATTCCTATACACTTTACTATTTTCTTTCCATTGTGTTCGCTTTTGTCTAAGTTCTCTAGCATTAATATGAATAACTGGTTTTACTTGACCTTTCTCTATTTTCTTTAAATATTTTAATCTTTCTTTTTCTCGCCTTTTTCTATCATACTCTTTCTTTTTTAATTTTTTTTCTGCATCACTCAACTTCTTTTGTCGTGCCATTTTGCTTCCACATACATGCACCTGTTTTAAATTAAATACCATGAAATACAAGTTGCAAGAAATAAATAAAAAATCTAAAAAAAAACCGCAGAATACTGGATAAATCATTCCCTCACTCCTAAATGCAGTGAGGGAATGACGAATTTTAACAAAAACACCGACACATAACCTCAATTTGCTTGTTACATTTCGAATATGTATTTTACTCAAAAAAATGCATAAAACCAACAAATTTTAATGATAGATATTAAAATGCTTAATACATTCATGTAACGCAAAATATTTTTTTACACGAACTCACCTACGGTTGAGAAGAAATCGCCATCTTGAATCATTTGAGAGTGTTGCCAGGTACTAAAAACTTAAGGTTGCGTTCCTAAATATCGTTTGACACGTTCAGAAATCGAATATTCGTAATAGGATGAGGGAATGATTTTATTTGGCGGGACATATTTAAAATCGATTTATTGTTTTTATAAATTCGTTGTTGTAAGATGGAAGCTCTTATAGACAATAACAAACATCTTTCTTATATATTTGCATAATTTTATTATTAAGAATATTGATATATTTCAGATAAATAGGCATTTTAGTAATATTTTTGAACTAAGGGACAATGTGAGGGAATGATTTTCACGGTAACAAAGTAGCCATATCTTTTTTTTCTTTAGAGGTAATACGTTTTCTTTTTACACAATAGCGGTATAGACAGCGTACATTCAAATAAAAGAAAGACTTATGTAGTTAATGCATATAATAATAATAATAATAATAATAATAATAATAATAATAATAAATGCTTTTATTGACATTATGCATACATATATGACTTATGTCAATTGGCAGGGTTCAGTGTTCCTTAAAGGTAGATGAACTGCCTTTAAGTAACTCTGCTCTTCCACCCAACCATGTACATTTAATTTTTGTACAAGTGTTATCTACTTAAGTAACAAAAGAAAACTAACTAAACTTCTAAAAATAAAAATAAGAGACATACTAAAAAAATCAGAGAACAACAAAATATATAATATTATATTAAAAATCTGGTGGTGTCATAACACTATTTAGTAAATCATTCTTCAACTGTTTCTTAAAATTTAATTTATTACTGCAATTACCATGTTTGTCATGAAACCAATTAAAAAGATGAGCGATTTGATATGAAAACGAACCTCTGTAAGCACGTGTTCGGTGTAATGGCATGGTTAATCTATTTTCCAACGAATATTGACGTTATGTACGTCTGTCCTAAATCTTATTTTGTTTTAAAGATACGGAGGTGTTTTCTTAGAAATAATTGAATTAAACTGACAGCAAGCGTTCAATACTCGTTGTTGAATTGTGGTTAACCAACCAATTCTTTTAATATGGTGCGAAATATGTTCCCTTCTCCTAATGCCACAAATTAATCTTACACATGAATTTTGTAACTTCTGTAATCGATTGATGACTCGGCACTAATGGCTCGGGAATCAAATTTCGAAATTTGATGAGAAATACCCATACACATTCAGCAGGTTCACTATTGTGTAGCGATATCTTCAATCAAAGAGTGCCTCCAGCATTTAGTACTTGGATGTGTAAATATTTAAAGAAAGTCGGCGTACATATTACGGTGGATTCATAAACTACGTTCAGTTCGCGTTCAGTTCACGCTCAGTTCGAGTTCAACATAAAGCAGAATGACATGGTAAGTATGTTTTGGATAAGAAATTATAATGGATTCATAATTATTTTATAACCAACACCATCTACAAATGTAATTTAAACAAAAATAACACCAAAATATAATTTTATTTTGTGGAATTTGAGGTTATGTCTTGCCAACTCGAACTGAGCGCGAACTGAAAGTAGTTTATGAATCCATAAAGCCCTCGTAGTTGCATACCACAGCTGGCAAGTAGCGTGAAGTGTGATACATCCCAAAATAAAAACATTAAGCCATTTCTGTTATTCAAACATTTTGCATTACTCATGCGCGAAAAAAGTGCGGGTGTAGTAATTATCCAAACATCTTTCAGAATGTATTTCGCCGCCTCTGTTGATGACAACTTTTACGACAAAAAATGTCTTTGTTCCACATTCTGAAACTCTAGAGAAACAAGTACCCCTGCAAAATAATCGGTGAAGCAGGAAATGCAGAGCAAAAACTAATTGAATTTTCTCCAGCTCTTTATAGATAAGATTTGCGCGGTTACATTTTACCATTTATTTTGATCTTGTTTGTACACCCCGAAAATGTTCCATTTACTTTTCTGTATTTAGGTGGATCGCGCTATATTTAGTTTACTTTGTTTCTTCTTTGTTTTGTTAAGAGTTCGGGAGTTAAATTTTTCGGATCGATCAACTGGAATACATGCAACGTTGTTAGTTCTTTTACAGGATGTCTTAGGATTGATTGATTTGACTATATGGTTACTTAAAAAAAATATCTGACGTGTTTAACATATTTCTTATAAAGTTATGAAATATATTAAGTACGGACTATCTAATTTTTACCAAGATAATTACACTATCTAGTTCCAGTTACCTCAAATTCCTGGGTAGCTGGAATCTACTGACAAAAAAAAATAAAAAATTCCCTTGAAGCTTAGAAAAACATTTTTGTTTTTAAGCCGTTATTGCAGTTGATTTATAAAGGTCTAAATTGCATACCCATAGAATCTTGACCAATTTTCCTTGCAGGTTCGTCTCGTACATAGTTGCAAATTTAAGTGTTGTAAAATTAGGTTCCAGTTAACCAACTTGAAATACAAATTTTGTTTTTTTTTTTTTATTGTGAAAAATACCGAATTTGTAAGAACGATTAGAGATAAAAAATTGAAACAATAACAATTCAAAAGAAAATACAATTTTGTACAATTCAAAATATTTTTAATATCGATTTAAAATTAAATGTAATTTTAATTTAAGGGAAAGATATAGAGAGAGAGAGAGAGAGAGAGAGAGAGATATGCTTTATTGTCGTAAAAAAATTTACAAAAATTTTATAGACAAAGCGTGTAACTTAAATACTAAACATATTATAAAAATAACTAAACAGCAGAAAAAACAAACAGAAACAAACAGACAAAATAGGAATAACAATTGCAATGGATATGCAATATCCGTCATTATAATTATTCTAATTTAATTTTTAAATTTAAATTTAAACTTTAATATTTAATTATTTAATTAATGCCATTGTATGTGGAACTCAAATGTCTAAGGTACGTTATAAAATTCTGCTACTGTGTAATATGGTCTTTCTAGAAGAAAAGCTTTAGCCAGTCTTCGGAACTTATCGTATGTATTTATAGATTTTAATTGCATCGGAAGGTTATTATACAATTTTTTGGCATTGTAGGTAATGGAATGTTTTAATAGGTCAGAAGTGGGCATTGTTAAATAAACATCAGTCTCTAAATTTCTTGTAGGATATCTACGAGTCGGTCTTTCGGATAAATTTTGAATGTGCTTGCGAACTAAGCAGACGGATTCGAAAATAAATAGAGCAGGAAGGGTTAGAATTTTGAAATTTTTGAAGTAATTTTCGCAATGTGTCCTTAAACCAAATACATAGCGGATTGCTCTTTTTTGCAGTTTAAAAATAGATTCGAAAAGGTATAAGCTACAAGAACCCCAGAAAGGTAAACCATAGCGAAGGTGAGATTCGAATAAGGAAAAGTAGGTTATTAATGCAGTAGAAGGAGTCAGCTCTTTAGAAACCGATTTAATGGCAAAACATGCGGAGGATAATTTTTTTGATAATGAGCAGACCATTTTAGAGAATCGTCTATATAAAGACCTAAAAACTTGATTGAAGTCACCGGTTGGATCAGATTATTGTTTAAAGTTATAGGTTGTAAAGTACCTCTGTAAGACAATGCTACAGTTTTACTGGTGTTGAAACAAAGTCCATTCGAATCAGACCAGGACTTAATAGTCACTAGATCTTCACTTATGATAGATTGTAATGTCTGCATGTTAGAATTATTCCAGGTTACACTGGTGTCATCAGCAAATAAAGTAATTCTACCACTTATTCTTAAGTCTGTGATGTCGTTGATGAATAATAAAAACAAAATTGGACCTAATACTGATCCTTGAGGTACTCCACTGCTTATTGCTAGATTTGTAGAATCCTCACCATTCGCCCGCACCTGTTGATTTCTATTTTCTAGGTAAGTTTTAAACCATTGTGAAGGAGAACCCCGTATGCCATAAATTTGTAACTTATTAATTAAAATATCATGATTTACACAATCGAAGGCCTTTGCGAAGTCACAAAATACTGAAGCGGTGAAAAGTTTATCATTAAGTGATGTGTATATTTCATTAAGAACGGAAAACATTGCGTCGCTAGTGCATTTTTTAGGTAGAAAGCCATACTGATGAGCTGTGAGGATGTTATGCTTGAAAAGAAAGGGCAAAAGACGGTTTTTCATTAGCCGTTCTACTATCTTCGATAAGGTAGGCAATAACGCGATAGGTCTATAGTTACAGGTTTTGGTTTTGTCGCCACCTTTATGAAGTGGGATTATTATAGCTGTTTTTAGACAGTTAGGAAAGAGACCAATTTCAAAGGATTCATTAATCAGTGAAGTTAAAATGTTGATTACTACATCCGGTATATTTAGAAATATTTTGGTGGACAGGCCATCAATTCCACAGAAAAATTTATTTTGGATGTTGTTTATGGTTTGCACTAGTTCATGCTTGTCTACTGGTCTTAGGAAGAAACTTTCAGTGATCCTTTTAGTAGGTAGGAGGAAGGAGAGAGCGTCCTGACTCGGAGCTATGTTAGATTTGATATTTTTACTTACATTTACGAAATAATTGTTTAGTTCATCTGGGCTAGGATTTACACTGTTTTAAGAACGGGTTTTATTCCTTAAATCATTTATTATAGACCAGGTTTCTTTGGAGGAGTTTTTAGCTCTTGCGATGCGATTTTTGTAATAGTTTTTCTTAGCAGATTTGGTGATTTTCCGATACAATATTCTGTAGTTGTTGAAATA